CAACAATGGGTTCAAACATAGCAACGATTGTGAGCATAGCTGAAATTGTGCACGACAGATAAGTAAGTACAAGTAAGCCTGTGTGTACCTTGCTTATTAGGTAATCTGTCCCTGATTGTGAGGATGCCGCAGGACCGGGTAGTGTTTCGTTCTGTTGTACATAGGGTCGCTATAAGTTGATGGCTCCTAACAACCCAACGACAACAAATAAATGGAAAGATAGTTGATGTTCATGGACCAGATGATTCAATAATGTTAAGATATTAATTATTTCTAAATTGATCTAGGAATTCAATGCAATCTCAATCAAACTCCCAGCAGGCTTCTTTTTTCTGGAAATTGACAAGCTGATTCTGAAATTCATGAAAGAATGCAAAGGACCTGGAATAGTCAAACCAACTTTGGAAAAGAACAGAGTTGATGGAGTTAACCCTCCTGACTTAAAGCCTAATTATGAAGCTACAGTAAACAAGACAGTGTTGTATGGGCATAAAGATAGATAATTAGAACATTGAAATATAATGGAGTCCAGAATTAGACCCCACACATATATAATCAATTGATTTGTGTCAAAGATGCCTCAATGGAAAAAGAATAATCTTTTCAACAAATGGTGGTGGAATAACTGGATACACAGATGCAAACAAACGAACTTCTATCCAAACTTCACACCATCTACAAAAATTAACTCAAAATGGATCATAACATTTTAAAAATGGATCATAGACCTGAATGTAAACCTAAAACTATAAAATGTCTAGAAGAAAACATAGGAGAAAGAAAATCTTTGTGATCTTGGATTAGGCAAAGATTTCTTAGATACGACACTAAAGGAATTGTGGGCTTGACTAGTCATCAAAATTAAGAACTGCTCTTTCAAAGTCGCTTGTAAGTGAATGTAAATCAAGCCACAGACTGGAAGAAAATATCTGCAAATTACATATCTTAAAAGGACTTGTATCCAGAATATATAAAGAATTTCCTAAACTCAATTTAAGTAAAAAGCCAAACACTTCAATAAAAAAACGGGCAAAAGATTTGAACAGATTCTTTCCCAAATAGGGTACATAAATGGCAAACTTGTAAAAAGGTGAACATCATTAGTTATTAGGGAAATGAATTAGTCATCAGGGAAATCTCACCACAAGGAAGTACCACCACACACCTATTAGAATGTCTAAAATTAAAAAGACTATATCAAGTGTTGGTAAGGATGTGATTTTAAGTGGAACTCTCATACACTTCTGGTGCAGGCATAAACTGATGCAGTCAATTTGAAAAACAGTTTGGCAGTTGCTTACAATTTTAAAATTAATCTGTTGTGTGATTCAGCCATTCCACTCCAAGAGAAATGAAAGCATATGCCCATTTAAAGACTTGTACAGGAATGTTCATGGCAGCTTTATTTGTACATATAGCCAAAAACTGGAAACAACACAAGGGTTCATCAACAGGTGAATGGACAAATGAACTATGGTATATCCACAAAGCAGAATGCTACATAGCAGTAAAAAAGGAATGAAGTGTTGAGACTGTTACAACATGGGAATCTCAAAATAATGCTGAATGCAAGCAGCCAGATAAAAAAGAGTACATAGTATATGATTCCCTTTATACAAAACTCTAGAAAATGCAAAGTAATCTATAATAGTGACAGAAGGTAGATCAGTAGTTGCCCGGGTATAGGGTGGAATGGTGTGGTGTGAGCAGAAAGGGGAGGAAAGTAGGAGATACGAAAAGGCAGGAGGAATCCTTTGGGAACTATGTGTATGTTCATGATTTTAATTGTGATGATTTAACGGGTGTATACATATGTCAAAATTCACCAAATTGTACACTTTAATAAACGTGCAGTTTATTGAACATCAATTCAACAAAGCTGTTAAAATTCCATTAAAACCATTGGGGGTAGTACAACCTAAGGAACGTAATCAAAGCCACTGAATTATATGTGTAGAAATTATTGAACTGGTATATTTTATTGTGCATATTTTCACCACAATTAACAAAAAATTAGGGGAAAGTGGGTGAAGGATACACTGGACCTCTCTGTACTATCTTTGCAACTTCCTGTCAACCTATAAGTATTTCAGAATAAAAAGTTTAAAAGAGAAGCATAAATTTAAAAAAAGAAAGTATTAGCACTTGTGAAATTGCTGTTTGAAAAGGCTATACCGGTTTGTTGCTGTTAGGCACTGTCGAGTAGGTTCTGACTCATAGCAACCCTGTGTACAACAGAATGAAATGTTGTCCGGTCCTGCGCCATCCTCATAATTGTTGCTATGTTTGAGCCCACTGTTGCAGCCACTGTGTCAATCCATCCCGTTGAGGGTCTCCCTTTTTTTCATTGACCCTCTGCTTTACCAAGCATGATGTCCTTCTCCAGGGACTGGTCCCTCCTGATAACATGTTGAAAGTATGTGAGACGAAGTCTCGCCATCCTTGCTTCTAAGGAGCATTCTGGCTGTACTTCTTCCAAGACAGATTTGTTTGTTCTTCTGGCAGTCCATGCATGGTACATTCAATATTGAGAGAGGTCTCCTTCTCCATATCCTACCAGTGATGGATGTAATAAATATTAATTACTTTCACCAGTCAAAGAGGCAAAAAATGGTTTTGCAATTCATACTCCTTTGAGTATTAGTCTAATTAATGTCATTGCCGGTTTTGGTGGACCATTTTCATTTCTTCTTGAAATGCCTGCTTATGAGCTTCACTCTTGCTTCCTTCCGGTATTTGCTTAGATGAGGCTTAGAGAGAATTTCCTGGCTCCAGTATTTAAAATTACAGTGCTCCCCACTCCCTGCCCCTGCTTTATATTTCTCCATAGGATTTATCACCATCTGACACACTATCAGTTTACTTATTTACCTTATTTAATGTCTGTCTTCCCACATTTAAATGTCAGCACAATGAGGGCAGGGATTTTCGTCTGTTTTGTTTACTGCTAAATTCCAATACCTAAAACATGTCTGACACATAGTAAAAACAAACAAACCTGTTGCCATCGAGTCGATTCCAACTCATAGCGACCCTGTAGGACAGAGTAGAACCATTCCATAGGGTTTCCAAGGAGCACCTGGTGGATTCAAACTGCCCACCTTTTGGTTAGCAGCCAAACTCTTACCCACTACACCACAAGGGTTTCCTGACACATCGTAGGCCCTCCTTAAATATTTCTTGAATTAATAAATGCTTCCCTCCCACCCCACCCCACCCACACATGGGGGTGTTTGCCTTTTTCTTGTTAATTTAAGAGCTCTTTATGTGTTAGGAATATTAACACTTTATCATAAAGCATGAACCTTGATGGCGCTGTGATTAAGAGCTCAGGCTGCTAACCAAATGGTCTATAGTTTGAATCCACCAGCTGCTCCTTGGAAACCCTATGGGGAAGTTCTACTCTGTCCTGCAGGGTCACTGTGAGTCAGGATCAACTGGATAGCAATTATTTTTTTTTTTAAATAATGAAGGATGCAAATATTTGTCCTATGGATGTTTGTCTTTTGCTTTACCATACTCGTTGCGGTGGAGTTGATTCCAACTAATGCAGACCCCATGTATTAGAGGGTAGACCTTCTCCATAGGGTTTTCTTGGCTGTATTCTTTACAGAAGCAGATTGCCAGGCCTTTCTTCCACAGCATTGCTGGGTGGGTTCAAATCACCAACCTTTAGGTTAGTAGTTGAGCGCAAACTGTGCCATCCAGGGACCTTACTTTACCATACAGAAATTTTAAATTTTATGTAGTTATATATCTGTCTTATCTTTTATGGTTTCTGAGCTTTGTGTCTTCCATGGAAGCATCTTTCCTTCTCCAAGATTCTAAACATTTTTTTCTATGTATTTTTCTTCTAATCTTCTAGAGCTTTCCCTTGTAGAGCTTTAATTCACATGGAATTTATTTTTGGGTGAGATGTCAGGTAAGAATAAAACTTTATTTTTTCTCTCCCAATGATAGGCACCTATCCCAATACCATCTAGTCTGTATTTTTCTTAATCTATCATTTGTGTTTTCCTAAATAACATTTTTAAGGGCTTCCTGGTATTCCTTTTATCCGGAAAAATATTCGTTTCCTCTTGTTCAAGTAAGTCAATGTTTAAATTTCTTACATTTCATACAAAGAAACTTAGTTTTTGTATTCTTCAGAAACATTTACCTCAGTGCCTGTGAGTCGAAATCAACTCGACAGCAACAAGTTTGGTTTTTGGTTTTCTAGCACATAGTGGGTGCAGAAATTGTTTGTGGAACGAGTGAATAAAGAAACAGGTATCTGTGTGCCTGCTCCATCGGACAATGACCTTCTGGCGGGCAGGCACATTGGAGTGCTGGAAGTGTCTTATAGAGTATATAGTCCAGTGACACGGTTTTCACTGATGTGTGGAGAAATTAAAAAAATAAGGACAATTATGCACACATGCACACATATTTGTAGAGAAAGTCATTGTGAGGCTGCCTTTTCCTTTTTTATTCTGAAATTATGATAAAATTATAAAAAATCCAAAAGGAAAGGAAAGACCGAATTGTAATCCTTCTCTAATTTTTGAGCCGTCTGCTCTGTGCGGATCACTGCTATAGGCCTTGAGAATGCAGCAGCAAAGAACGACTATAGCGTGGGCCCGAAGTTAGGAAGGGCAAGCAGACATTCATCAACCAAGCAGTAGTGACAGGTATATTGCGCAGTTAGAAACTGAGACCCTGAGAAGTGCAAACAATAATAGCCCTGGGGCACACTGTCTAGGCCGCCTTCGCCACAACTTCACACTTGCTGCGCAAGGTCTAAGGTGCTCGGCGAGGCTGGGAAGCTGGAAGATGCACTGCCAGCACATCGCAGTCCCGCCCACCCCGTCTGGCTGCGGACGCGGGGGGCCGGCGCGGCACATAAGCGGGACGAGGCCGGACAGAGCAGGCGAGGCGGGGCGGGGCGGAACGCGCGCGAGGGTGATCGTGTTTCCGGGCGGAGACTTTTGTGAAACGCCCCGCGTGCCTCGGTGGGCGGTGGCGGCGGTGGCGGCGACGGCGACGGCGACGAGATCCGGAAGTTAACATCATGTCGAGTCTGCACAAGAGCCGGTAAGGGCCACGGGGGCCGGCCCGTCCAGCATGTTCTGTCTGTCCCACTGAGTGGAAGAGCGAGTGCAGCCAGGAACCAGGATCCACCTAGCAGCGGGACTCGGGAGCCTCACCGCCTGTGGGCCTGAGGTGGCCCGGGGCACAGGCTACTCCTGCCCCCAGTGTCACCCTGATAGGATTCCCCCTTACCCTTATCTAGGTCTTGCTTATCTAAGGCCTTGATGCCTCGCCCTCCGACTCTTTCTCGTTACTCCTTTACACCGGTACCACCTCTCTCCAAATGCTCCCCGTTCTTCTTGGCCCTTTTTTACTGGAAATGCTGGAGAACCTGGATTCTCCGTTTCGTCCCCTACCCCCAGGTCACTTCCTGTAGCATTAGCTGAAATTTGCTCACACTTTAGTTTTCCTGCAGGACTTGATTTTAAAACCGTTTGTGCTTGCCTGCGGCAGCTGCAGAGTTCTTAATAATGGCTGTGTTTTTGAGCATGGAAAGCTGACTGCAGATTGCACAAGTCTGTTATCTGCGGATCAGATTACTCCTGGTTCCTAGGGTTCTTTAAGTAGTACGGTGCTGTGGGCTGGGCCTTAGCAGCAGGAAGTGCCCCGTAATGCCAGCTGTTTAAATATTAGAATGTGTCTAATTTATGGTGTTCTTTTGAGAACCTCCACGTAAGAATATTTCTTAAGTTTCTTCATTGGCATTCTGTGTCTCTGGGCTTAGAGGAAGAGGTGATATTGGGAATATCACTTATAGTTCCCCAAAATTGCCTTTGGTTAGGACCTTGACTGAGCTTCACCATCTGTATGTACAGAAGGGGAGGAGGGGGCAGGTTGGAGACTGGTGGTGTGAGGAAGCTGTGGGCCAAAGGCTTGGGCACTAAGCCTGTCACTTTGGGGATTGGATGTGCTTCATTTACCTCCCCTTTTACTTTCTAGGGTAGGAGCCCTGGTGGCACATTGGTTAAGCGCTTGGCTACTAGCCGAAAAGTTGGTGGTTCGAACCCACCAGCTGCTCCACAGGAAAAAGATGTGGCAGCTTGCTTCTGTAAAGATAACAGCTTGAGAACCCTATAGGGTAGTTCTACTCTGTCCTTCAGGGTTGCTATGAGTTGGAATTGACTTCTTGGCAGTGGGTTTGGTTTTTTCGGGTTCCCTTCTAGGATTGCAGATTTCCAGGATGTCCTGAAGGAGCCCACGATTGCCTTGGAAAAGCTTCGTGAACTCAGTTTTAGTGGTAAGAGGAAACTTTATTTTCAGGGTTCCCCTAGGACAGCATTGTGGCTAGGGTGGAAGGGAGGGTGCCCAGTGGCACACGTAGTCAGTTCTGGAGACTGGCCTGACTATTTGGGGACTCATGTTGTCTTCTCCAGATTCTGTAAAGCTGAATCAATGACTTCCCTGAGCCCGGAGGGGGTTCTCAGAGGAGGGAGGGCTATGGTTAACATGCCTGTAGGCTTTAGACAGGGAGTTGCCAGGTTCCTCAGAGTAACTTGAAAAGATTGAGATTGAGGATGAGAGTGGGGAGAAAACCTTTTGAGCCTAGATCAGGCCTTTCCTCATTCCTCAGTAAGCTTCCTGTGTTGTAGAATTTGGGTAGCCCAGAGTTGTTCTTGGTTTCTCCCTGGCTTGGAATCAGAGTAGACTGAGGTGACAGTGAACTTTGGTTAATGGTAGAAGTTCAGCCTTGGGGCAGTGATTTTAAGGAGCTGAACCTCAGTAATGTTTGACTTTGCTCTCCTTGCCATGTTTGACCTTCCAGTGCAGAGATAACTCGCTTTTTTCTTGTCTTTAGAAATACACCAAGGTGTTTTGTGTAGCTTATTGTCACTGCCTTGCCCTCATAGCTTTGCCAGCAAGGAGTTCTTGGGGTACCCCCTCATCCCCATGCACATTCTGAGGGGGGAGCATTAGTTCATGTTACCCAGGGTACCATAGCACAGCTGCTCTAGCAAGGTTCCTGAGAATATTGTAGGAGAAATTTGTTTTTCTGTTCAAGACAGCTAAGTGACTGCTATTTAGGTCCTGAAGATCTTGAGGGGTCCTGGGATCTATGCTGGACTGAAGTATCTACTTATACCTTGGACGAGGCAGTCTGAGGTAGTGGTTAAGAGTTTGGGCTCTAGAGTCAGACCTGTGTTTGAATCCTTGATTGCTCTGTACTTTACAGGTAAGTTTCCTTATCTGTAAAATGAGGACAGTGATGCTCTTGTCCCTTACCTACTAGGGTTTAATAGGTTATAATAGTGAAATAACATTTGTAAAGCACTTAGCATTCATAACTTACTTTATATTCTGCAAATAGTTATAGAATACCTTCTGTGCATCATGCCCTGTGCTAGGCACTGGGAATATGAGACAGATGTACTTCCTGTTTTTGGAAGGCTTACCCAGTAGTAGGAATTATAGACATTAAATAAATACACAAGTTCTACCAGTTGTGATGGATGCTATGAAGGAGAAGTTATGCAGCCATTAGTGTTTTTAACAGGCAGACCTGACTTTGATTGAGGGAGATGGTAGTTGGTAAAGGCTGCTCTAAGGAGGAAATATCCAGGATGAGAAGGATGAAGCAGTGTTATCCTCAAAAGAACATTCCAGACAGAGGGAGGTCTGGGCTGGGGCCTGGGGCCATGGAGAGAAATTAAGCCTGGCTTAGCATTCAGTCTAGTAATCTCTCTGGTGGAAAAGTGATTCTTGAAGTATCTTTTGCCCATTTCACTCCCTGCCAACTGGATCCTGAAGTAGAGGACTGGGGGTTCTGGGACTCTGGCCTGGGGTGTGACCTTTGCCTGCTGTGTCCACAGGCATACCCTGTGAGGGCGGACTGCGGTGCCTCTGCTGGAAGGTGGGTGTGCCTGGGGTGGGGCTTCTGCTCTGCTGAGAGTCCCTGGGTTCTTGCATGGGCTGTCCCCACCTCTGGCCCCTTCTTCCTGTCCCGCACCTTTCCTTGCTTGCCTGAGGAAGCTTTTCTGGGCAGTTCTGGGTTTTCTCTTCCTCTTGGTGTCCCCTCCAGGATCACCTTGGGGATGGACCACTTTCTAACGCCAGTGACGCCGTCTGCTACCCAGTCCATACAGTGCAGTGAAGTGATACTTATTGGGACAAAACAAAGGCTGTGCTTTGGCCAAAGCTGTTAGTCGAGGTGAAGGCGGAAGCCCAGTGTCCTGGTTTCCAGTCCCCTTGAGTGTAGGGTTGTGTTATCACTTGGAAGAGTCTGTGTGAGGAGAAGCAGAGGAAAAGCTGGTTTGGGAGAAAGGAGGCAGTGGGAGGACAGGGGAGACTGCCCCTGACTCACATCCACGTTCCTGGGTTTGAGCCCATCTTGTCTCTCTGGGCTTTATTAGATATTCTTCTCAAGGCCTGTCAGCCTCCATCCTCTACCCAGGGTTGGGGTCGGGAGAGTCACCAGAGCCTACCTCTCTCCGTTTGTGCAGATTCTCTTGAACTACCTCCCTTTGGAGAGAGCCTCATGGACCTCCATCCTGGCCAAGCAGAGGTAAGACCCTGTGAGAGGGTGGTGATGGCAGGGCCTTCATATCAGCCAAAACAGGAGGTGCTGAGACCATCCTGCCCCCTGTGGCTGCTTCTCTGGGCTACCTAGGCAGGACCTTTGGGAATCATCCTCTCTTCTTCTCTCCTGCAGGGAGCTGTATTCTCAGTTCCTGAGAGAAATGATTATCCAGCCTGGCATTGCCAAGGCCAACATGGGAGTGTCCAGGGAGGATGTGACCTTTGAGGACCATGTGAGTGGGAGTTGGTAGTGGGGACGGAGGATATGGGGTAGGGTGGGGGTTTTGGAGCAGGCAAGGTTCTTCCAACCCTGAGGATAGATGCAGCCTGGCTTTGGTCCCCTCTGGAACCTTTAGTACCTCCTTTCTGCATGCATTTGACTTCTCAGCCCCTGAAGACCATTGTCTCTCCACTCCTTCCCAGGCCTGGGCGAACTGCAGGTGCCTGGGCCCACTCGATAACGTAATGATAGCTGGTGTTCATGGAGTGCCGTGAGCACAGCTCTGTGCCAAGTCTTTGCATGCATTGTCTCCTTTAATTCTCTCCCCAGTTCTTTGAGGAAGGTACTGTGATTTTACAGTTGAAGAAAGATCATAGCAGGGCAGGAGTAAAGAAAAACTGCATTCCTGGGGCCTGGAGGAAGCCCTGTTCCACCTGCAAATACTGAGCCCCTACCTGTATGCTTCCAAGTGGACATGAATTGGACCTGTTGTGATTGGCAATTCAAAGCATTAACGGATTAGATTTGAAGAGACCTAATGTTAGAGTGAGAAACCCTGGTGGCACAGTGGTTAAGCATCTGGCTGCTAACTGAAAAATTGGCAATTCGAACCCACCAGCTGCTACGTGGGAGAAAGATGTGAAGATGTGGCATTCTGCTTCTGTAAAGATTACAGCGTTGGAAACCCTTTGGGGCAGTTCTACCCTGTCTTACAGGGTTGCTATGAGTTGGAATCGATTTGACAGCACACAACAACAACAGTGCTACAGCTGTGAACAGGAAAAACAGTCCCTGCCAAGTAGGAATAGTCCCTGAACTGACTGCAGGGCTGGCTGTGGAGTCTGAACATGATTTGGGAGGCAGCAGGGAGGCCTATGCTGTCTCCTCTGAGTAGCTCCAGGCTTTCTTAGAGCCACAGCTGGATCATGGGTGGGATTGGTAGTACAAAGCCACTACTGAATGGTCAGTGTCTTCCCTGGGGCCCCAGCCAGGCCCAAGATGGAGTCGCTGTTTTCTCCCCACAGCCACTCAACCCCAACCCCGACAGCCGGTGGAACACATACTTCAAGGACAATGAGGTGCTGCTGCAGATCGACAAAGATGTCCGGTAAGCGGGTCCCTGGTGGGCTGGGAGCTGGCCATGGGACTTCTGGAGGTTTCCTGGCTCTGCTCTTTCCTTTTCCAGCCCAGGCCCACTGGGCACGCGTCTTAGGAGCTGTCTGTCAGTTGTTCTGCTGGTTGGGTCCAGGCCCCGGTGATGATGGGCTGAGAATGGGGCTGGTGGGTGAAGTGAGTGGGTGGGGCTCCTGTGCTGGTACTGCCAGGCTCTCCTTTACCCCTGGGTTAGTTTCCTAGGGCTGTCCTGACAAATTACCACACACTGGGTGGTTTCAACAACAGAAGCTTATTCTCTTGCTGTCTGGAGGCCAGAAGTCCTAAATCAAGGTGTCAGTAGGGCCATGCTCCCTCGGAAGGCTCTAGGGAAGAATCCTTCCTTCTTCCGCTTTTGGTGGTTGATGGCAATACTTGGCATTCCTTGACTTGTGGCAGCATAACTCCAGTCTCTGCTTTCATCAGGTCTGTCTTCCATCTGTGTGTCCATGTCCAAGTTCCCCTCTTCTTTTAAAGATACCAGTCATGTTGGATTAGGGCCCACCCAAATCCAGTCTGACTCCATTTTAACTTGGTTTGTATCTCCAAAGACCCTATTGCTAAATAAGATCACATTCATAGTTTCCGGGTGGACATGAATTTTTGGGGACACTATTCAACCCAGTACAGTCTCTAAAAACCAAAAACCTATTGCTGTTGAGTCGATTCAGATTCGTAGTGACCCAGTAGGACAGAGTGGAACCGCCCCATGGGGTTTCCAAGGCTGTAAATCTTTACGGAAGCAGACTGCCACATTTTTCACCTGTGGAGTGGCTGGGAGGTTCAAACTGCTGACCTTTCGATTAGCAGCCAAGCACTTTAGGCACTGTGCTAACAGGGCTGCTACAGTCTCTTAAATGGGTATATATTCATATACAATGACTATATTGCTTTTTTTTTTTTAAACCGTATTAATTTTTAAGTAAAATGTTATTAATTTTTTTGAGAAAAGCCTTTTAGGATGTTTGGGGTCTCTTGGCAGCAGGGTGCTGATAGTGTGGCCAAAACTTCTACCCTGAGTGATGGTACTTTTCTCTTCACAGGAGGCTGTGCCCAGACATATCCTTCTTCCAGAGGGGCACCGAGTACCCCTGCCTCCTCATTCTGGACCCCCAGAATGAATTTGAGACCCTCCGTAAGCGAGTGGAACAGACAACGCTGAAATCCCAGACAGTGGCCCGGAACAGGAGTGGAGTCACAAATGTGAGAGCTGACCTGGGGGCCCTAGGGACTACTTGTAACAGTCTTTCTCTTCCTGCTCCCTCCCTCAGAGCACTGGCCACAGGGGCATCAGGTCCATGACCATCTGTTCCGAACAGTTGCTCGAAAGCAACCTTGGCTCTGCCAGATCCACTTCCGGGGCTCTTTGTGAAAGTCAGATACCAAACACTCATTGCCCTCTTGCTGGGTGCTAGGCCTTGCCTTATAGTGAGTGAGCCATGGATGAGTTGGCTCTTCTACACTTGTAATGATGATGGCTTTTGGAAAAATATTTATAAATGTGATGAGAAAGTGGGATGGGGGTAGTAATGGGGGTGAGATTCTGCCGTGGTTTTGGGTATCGGTGAAGGCTTCCCTGAGGAAGCAACATTTAAGTTGAGGCCTGAAAGGTGAAGGGGAAGGAGTGTTTTAGGTGGAGAGAAGAGCTTAGGTGGTAAAGTCCTCAGCAGGAGTGAGCATTATGTGTTCAAGGAGTTGGGGCATCTGGTGTGGCTAGAGGCAGCAAGTGAGTGGGAGAGGAGAGGGCTGCAGAGGATACTGGAGAGGTCGGTGGTGGTGAGGCCATATGGTGCCTTTATTCTGAGTGATGGGGTTGCTGTTGATGCGTTCTGAGCAGTGCAGTGGTATGACTTAGGTCTGCTGTTGTGAAAGAAAGGTTTGGATGCTGCGTGGATATTGGCTTGAGGGGGCAGGAATGGAGGTGAAGAGGCCTCTTAGGCTATGGTCATCTAGGTAAGAGATGGTGTGGGCTGGGGTGGAGTGAGCACAGACCTGAGAGATTTAATCAACAGCACTTGTTGCTGGGATATGCAGGTGGATGGCGAAGAAAACAAAAATCAAGGATGACTCCTAGGATTCTGGCTTGAGTATGTTTTTAAGTAACTGATAACACTTGGGCAAGTCCTGCTGGATGTTTAAACCCCAGTGTTGTAGCAGATTCCTGTAACTCTCAGAAGCCACTTGTAGCCAGACAAGTATATTATGTTTTTCCTTACACTAATTTCCTTACACGCTTTTGTACCTGGAACTCTGACTTGTTCCCCAGAACCTTTCATTGTCTTCTAACAATGGAAAAACTTCTTTGTAACTTTCAACAAGCTGGAAATGGTTAATACTGCAGAGGCTTTCTCCTCCAAGTGGAATGAATGACTTTGCTCAAGGTTCTGGGCATCTAAGAGAGCAGCCATTCTTTACTACAGGGGCAGCAGGGATATAGGTATAACCATTCTTGTGAACAGAGTTCTGTGTGCCTGTGACAAGTGTTGGGTATCCAGCAGAATTGCCATGAAGTGCAGAATGCTTGGTTTAATAACCACATAGTTTGTTTTGTGGGCAGCCCTCTTACTTGGCTGCTGATTTCCTGGTGAAGGGCTTCAGGGGGGTTGGGACTGCCTCCTGTCATTCATTTCACTTTAGTATTTGGGGTTTGGGAGCTGAGCTCTTACTCATTTTAGCTGTTGGGGCTGGTCCTGGTGGCAGAGAACCCAATCAGAAGCTTTATCCCTAGACCTTCTGGACCTGTGGTTGGGAGATTCGAGTTAAAGTTGATACCCGTGTGACTCTGGACAGTTAATACTAGGCTCACCTTTGTGGGCCTCTGTGTCCTCTTCCATAAACTGGGCATAATTGTCTCTGCCCTGCCTGTCTTTTCAGTTGCCTGGAGGATGAAATGTGGTCACGGCTGTTCAGATTCTCAGAAAGCTGGGAAGCACTGGGCATTCTCGAGGCAGTCTAGCCTAGAGGCCTAGACCTCAAGTTCTTCCCTCAGTCTGGGTTCAAGTCCAGGTTCCACTACTTGATGCAAGACGTTTGAAAAGTGACCTAACCTTTCTAATTCTGAGTTTCCTCCTCTTGCAAGTGATACTGAGAGGATGTTCTAGATTGTTGAGAGTATTAAATGGAGAAGATTTTTAAGGGCACCATCTGGAACATAGAAAGCTCTTGGTAAATGTTAATGATATGTATGTGTGCTCATATGTGCACTCATGTACGTGGGTGTCTACACGTATGTATGTATATATAATGGGAGGGGGAGTTTAATGTTCCTAGGACCCTCCCCCTCTAGGATAGCTTCGTACACCATCTCTGCTTGGGTTTGCTTTCAGCTCTAATGGAGGTGTAAAATGGTGGGAGTAGTAATAGTGTCAGAACCTGTCTAACTTCAGGGATGTTAGTGACCAGGTTCCATATCAGCCCAAGGCTGATTCCTATGAGGTGAAGGTCAGATATACCTCAACTCTCCAACCTTTTTACCAATTTTGACACCAGCTGTCCCTCTCATAGCACTCTCTGCTACTCTGCTGCGTTCAATAATGCATTGCAGTTGCCACACAGAACTCACAAATTGTACTTACAGGTATGTGGTTTATTAAGGAAGCAATGGGGTACAACTTGGGATATGGATCAACAGGCTACAACTCAGGATCAGGATCAGGAAGCGTGTAGGCAAAATCTTCCTTCTTCAGTGCAGGACAGCTGTCTCAGTTCCTCTTGGCCACACAAGCAAGCAGGCCCTTCTCCCTGCCATGCACACCCCCTCTTGGCTGTATAGGCCTCCTCTCAGCCTCATGAGGCTAGACCTCCTTTCAGCCTCCTGAGGACAGGAGGCTCCTCTTGGCCCTGCTGCCTGTCACCACCAACTCTGCTGCACGGCCCTTTCCGGGCCTGTGTTATATAGCTCTTTTAGGAGGTTCCATGCCTCCTCTCTCTCTGCTGCTTCTCTCTTCTTTCTTCCTTCTGCTTCTGTCTGCTTCCTGTCTGTCTGAAAAACCTCTGTGAGGTTGGCTGCATACGTACATAACTTGTCAATTTCAAGGCATGGCCCCTTTCAGTGAAGGGGGGCCCACAGACTGACCAGTCCCCTCTCGAGGGACAGACACTTTGTTTGCTTAGTAGGCTGTAGTCACCTTATTTGCATAGTCCATAGTCACTTAACTTGCATAGGTATATTGACTAATCCCTGCAAGGTGCATACCAATATAGTGCAGGCTGCAGCCCAGGGCCAGACGAAAAATATCAAACCAAGTTGTTTACAGTTTACCCAGGAGATGAAACAAACCTGGGGTAGAAAACTAGGGCAAAGGTAACTCCTCAGGGCTTAGAGGAAAAATTTCTCAAGCTGTTTTTCCAAAGAACCAAGGCAAAAAGGCCATGTAAAGGAACTCATTTCACCACAGGTAACCCTAGCCCTGGGGCTTCTGACTGAGTAGGTCTAGGATGGAGGCCTGATACCTGAATCTTTACAAAGCTCCTTGAAGGATTCTGACAGACAGCTAGTGTTGGGGACCCATGCTCTACTGCATATATCTTTAGCAGGGAGCACCATCTTTTTATTTATCCCAACTTTTTCTTACAAAAAATTTCAAATGTTCTGCAAAGTTGAAGGAACAGTACAATGCACATCGGTATACTTTCTACCTAAATTCAACAATTGTTGACATTTTGCATATTGCTTTGTCTGTGTGTGTGTTACATCCACAGAGAGAGTAAGCTACAGATGTCCTGACCCTTCACCCCCAAGGGCTTTAGCAGGCATCAGTTGAGAAGAAGGACATCTTCCTGCTAACTACTGTCACCTATAAAATTTATCAGTAATTTCATAATACCACCTGATTTCCAATCCATGTTCCAATTTCCTTAGTTGTCCCAAAAGTATCTTTATTGTTTTACCTTTAAACCAGGATCCAGTCAAGGTTTCTGTGTTACATTGGGATGTTAGGTTTCTTCAGTCTCTTGATCCGGAGCAGGTTTCCACTTTTTTTTCCCTATAACATTTGCCTATCTGGAGAGTCTTTGCCAGTTGTCTGTTTTGACATAAAATTTTTTTTTTTAAATTGAGGTACAACTTATGTGCAGTAAAGCACACAGTTCTTAAGTATGCAACAAAATATATTTTTCTCTCATGTATACCCCTGTGTAACCACCAGCCAGATCAAGATACAGATCATTTCCATCATCCTGAAAGTTCCTCTTCCCAGCCACTACCCCTTGTCTCAGAGGTAACTACTATTTTGGCTTTTATCACCATAAATTAGATTTTAGTCCAGTTGTCCTGTAGAATGCCCCACATTCTGGATTTGGCTGGTTGTTTCCTCCTCGTGATGGTGTTTGACATGTTTTTCTATTCCCTGTATTTTTTCTAAGCTAGAAGTTAAGTCTGAGTGGTAAAGATTATAGATAAGAATACGTTATTGGTAATGCCACGCATCTTACTAGCAGCCCCTCCTCTTCTCCTGCAGATGAGCTCCCCACACAAGACCACTGCGCCATCATCCCTGAATGAGTATGAGGTGCTCCCCAATGGCTGTGAGGCCCATTGGGAGGTGGTGGAGAGGATCCTGTTCATCTATGCTAAGCTCAACCCTGGCATCGCTTATGTCCAGGGCATGAACGAGATTGTGGGACCCCTCTACTATACCTTTGCCACGGACCCCAACAGTGAGTGGAAAGGTAAAAAGATTCTTGGCCCATGTCCCTCTTTGCCGATTCCCTAGAAAAACGGGCTGAGGAAAGCCAGGCTAATGGGCTTTATCAGGCTGTGCTCACCTCCTCTCTCTGGGCGTTCATTTTCCTCTGTCAGATGAAGGAGTTTCCCTGGATTATTTCTTAAGATCCTTTCTGGCCCTGACTTTCTAGAATATTGGGTGTTTACGGATCTCTTTATTTGTAACATATGGTCTTAGAAGGAGATAGGTGTATACACAGGAAGCTAAATGATAGAGAGGATTTAAGTAATGATTTGGAAAATGTCATTGGAAGAGCATATAATACATTGCTAAGTGAGTGTACAGAATGCCAGAGAATGTGAGAAGACAGAGGTAATGGCTTTAATCTGGGTGTAGAGAGTGGTCAAGGACAGAGGAAGGACTGAGCCTGACAACAAGGGTGGGAGCAACTTGGTGAGGCTCAGAGATGAGGGGGAAGATTGCTTGTCGGTCAGAGGTGGGTGGGACATGAGAGGGCACCACTTCCCTTGCCTCTGCCCATACCCTGCCCGTCTCCCCCAGAGCACGCTGAGGCAGACACCTTTTTCTGCTTCACCAACCTCATGGCTGAGATCCGGGACAACTTCATCAAGAGCCTGGATGACTCGCAATGTGGTATCACCTACAAGATGGAAAAGGTGTACTCCACTTTGAAGGAGAAGGACGTGGAGCTCTACCTGAAACTGGTGAGGACCCCCAGGACCCTGCGTACAGGGCTGACAGACAGAAAGGGGTGGAGACAGCAGTTTTCCTGAGCTTCCCAGGCCTAGGGTGAGGTCTGGCTTGAGCCTGGGGATTAAAAGTGGCTGCTGTTGCTGAGGAATGTCAACCTACATGCTGTGGACGGACCAGGCAACCTTGGCAGCAGATGATGGGAACCTAGCAGGCTGAGAGTGGAAGGGAAAGTTGATAAGAGTTACCCAGTGGCCATTGTCAGGCAGAATGCGGAGCACTTAACCCCGTTGCCATTGAGTCAGTTCCGATTCATAGCAACCCTATAGGACGGAGTAGAACTACCCCATAGGGTTTCCAAGGCTATAATCTTTACAGAAGCAGACTGCTATATCTTTCTTCTGCAGAGCAGCTAGTGGGTTCAAACCACTGACCTCTTGGTTAGTAGCTGAGGGCTTAATCACTTCGTCACCAGGGCTCCTGCTGGGCACTTACCATACACTAAATTAGTTAAGCCTATTAGTAGTCCTTTGAGGTAAGAAGTATAAGCTTCATTTTTAAAAACTGAAAAGAAATTTTTTAAAATTATTATTATACTGGCATTCATGTTTATTTCAGAAAGCAGTTCATTGTAGAATCATGCTTATACTGCTTTATAGCTTGTTTTTTCACTTAACATTCACTGTGGCTCATTTCTAAAGTGGGAATAATTGTCTTGTAGGGTTGTTGTGTGAATTAAATAAGAGATAATGTATGTAGTGTGCTAAGCACAGGCCATGCCTGTAGTAAGTGCTTGACCACTCTGTACGTCCATAAGTCTGGGGTTATAAACTGCACAGTGTTTTAAAAGATCCTGAGCCATTATTTATATATCTGAACCGTTTGTATGAAAATCTGAGTTTCTGACTTCTCTTGAAAAATGGGAGATCTGAACGTTTGCTGACACCAAACAGCAGGTACCCCTTTAACCAGTCAGGGCTCAAGGCCCATCCCCCAACAGTGATCCTGGCACTCACTGTGTCTGCTATGTTCTTAGTGTTAGGTCCTGGTCCCTTCTGTTCATGGTCATCTGAATTCATTTGTAGTAGGCTCCACGACAACTACCAACACGTATATTGCACCCCACCTGCACCTCTCTCTCCCCAGCAAGAGCAGAACATCAAGCCTCAGTTCTTTGCCTTCCGCTGGCTGACACTGCTGCTATCCCAGGAGTTCTTGTTGCCTGATGTCATCCGTATCTGGGACTCTCTCTTTGCTGATGACAACCGCTTTGACTTCCTCCTCCTCGTCTGCTGCGCCATGCTCATGTGAGTGTGGCCATGACACAGCGTCTGCTCACCTGGCCATCCTTGGGATAAATCAAAGGGATAAATTCATCCCTGGGGTGATTCAGAGGGGAGGATCCTCAGCCCCCTGAGGGGTGGGCAGGAGGCTGTTCTCATGTGACTGGAGCAAACCTCTGGAGTTCTTGGGAGAGCTTCAGACCAAAGTTGCTGTGGGTGGTGAAGAAGGAGCGGGAAGGGGCCTGGCTGGGCCTGCGCTCAGAGGGGCCCAGGGTTCCAGCGCTTTTGCTGCTTGTTTTTCTTAGACTGATCCGGGAACAGTTGCTGGAAGGGGACTTTACTGTAAACATGCGGCTCCTGCAGGTAATGGTAGTTTGGATGGGCAAATTATGTCTTTACTATGCAGCAAACACTTACCAAGCACCCAGACCATGCCAGCCATTGGGGTCAGGAACGGGAGCGTGTAGCAGGGTTAAGAGTCTAGACCCCTGAGGTCGATCTGGGTTTGAGTCCCAGCTCTGCCAGTGACCTTGCATGTTGCATGGCTTTGAGTGAATGACTTGGACTCTCTAAACCAAGTGTTCTACGTAAGTTACATGTACTTGGGACACAGCAGGCACTCAGTATGTGATAATTCTTGATAGTAATGATGCTTGGACCTGGAGAAGGAGGGACTTGGGAAGGAAGGTGTGGGGCATAGTGATTAAGAACATGGGCTCAAGGGTTAGACAGCTTTGAGTTCAGGTCTTTGTTTTGCTGTATTAGTCCTGTGACCTGAGACAAGTGACAACCTCTCTAGGCCTGTTTCTTCATCAACACCTGACCAAGGGTTGGTTTTCAATAACTGTGTGACTAGCTCTGTAAAAGGGGCATAATTGCAGTAACTCCCTTATAAGGCTGTTGAGATAACTCAGTGAGCTAATACTTGGACAGTGTCTGGCACAGTACTAGGCTTGTTATGATTGGAGCTCAGGGTTTGAGGGCAGAGTGGGGAGAGATGAGGCAGGATGGGGCCTGGTCCTGGGGAAGGCACTGTGAGACCCTTTGGGTGGTACTAGGTGAGTTGGTTAAGTTAGTGCTGCAGTGGGTGTAGCGTTAGCCACATGCAGGGCTTTGGGCAGGATGTAGGGTGTCTGGTGTCCTGTGGTCTCTGCCCCTGAAGCCCAGGGTCCAGCACAGTGATAGATCCCAATAGGAAGGACCTGGGTGTGGCGTAGGTGTCAAAGGGTGAGCTGACTTCAGAGGTATATCATTGGCCTTTCCCATGTCCAGGATTACCCCATCACAGATGTCTGCCAGATCCTACAGAAAGCGAAGGAACTCCAAGACTCAAAGTAGCCTGACGGCAAGAGGTCCAGGTTTGGGAGAGAAGGCACTGACCCCTGGCTTCTAGGACACGGAGAAGCCTGTAGGATTTCCAGCCAAAGGGGAAGCTGCAGAATTGGCCACACTCCAGGCCTTCTCGCCCTGGCCCCCTCGTCCTAGGCCGTTCCCGCTGGGGGCACACTGTGTGGCGCTCCTTCCCTAACCACCGAGCCCTCGCTCCCCACGCTCTTCAGCCCTGGGACCCTCTGCCCAGGCTGCTAAGCAAGGTTGGAGCTCATGAAATTCTGTTCCTTGGGGCTGGACAGTCTGGGAGGCTGTCAGGTGTTCTTCCTGTCTCTGCTCTGCTGCCCCCTTCCTCCTTTCCTGCTTCTGGTTTTCTGGACTCTGGTGAGGGGCAGGCAGTAGGCACATGGGCCAGAGATCACTTCTTCTAGGGGTTGGTGCTGAAGCTTCTACATGGGGAAGGTGACACTGTATAGGAGCTAAGAGGCTGCCGGGCTGAGGTCATGCCCTCTATCTCTCATGAGCGTGTGTGAGGTCTGTGTGTATATGTCTGTGAATCCCCCAGGTGTCTCTGCTTCTCCTCTCTTGTCAGTCAGGGTGAGTGTGAGGATGTCTTTGAATCCCTCTAGGTCTGTCTGCTTCTCTGTCTCTCTGCTTCTGGCTCCCTGTCTTCTCCCTTCACTTCTTCACAGAGGGTGGTCGTGGCATTCTCACTCTGGATGTTCCTCTCTCCATTGCTCTCCCTCTGCGTTTTTCTCTTGGGGTGCCTTATCCCTAGTGTCTTTCCCTCCTGACCCCTTCCCTGCTCCCAGGAACCCAGGAGACAGAATGAGGATTCTGGCTCAGCAGAGCCCCTGCACATCAACCTTGGCCTTTGCATCCTGTTCCCACCCCCCAGTCCTAGGCTCCCGGGTTCCCCAAACTGGGAGGGAGTCCACAGTGCCTCACTAGAGGCCACTTAACCTGCCCCTTATGACAAAAACTTGGAAACCAAAAGCTCCTGGGAAATAATGAAGAGGGAGACATGCATCTTTCCAGAAGTTACCATAAAGGCTCTTCCCTCCCTGGGGTCGTCTGTGCTCCAGGGGACACGGTTACTAAGAAAATTCTATTCCAGGGTTTGGGATCCAAGTGCTTCTGAAGAGTTGTGATTCCCTTGGCTTCCAGGATCTAGCCCACAGAGCCTCCTTGTGGCCAGGCATAAATAAGCTCAAAGACCCTGGACCCTGTCAGTGCCAGGAGAGTCTTGTGTCAGCACCTTTGCATGCCCTCCACCCCCAGGCAGGCAGAAGGAAGTGCTGGCCCTTCTCTGGTCACCTGCTTGGGGTGTCCCCAGGTGTTAGGGCGTGTCCTTCACGCAGGAGCAGCTGACTACTCCCAGCACTGGCCTGTGAGTGGTAAGACTGTTCTGACAACTCCCCACCCTTCTTTTGTGAGAAAGCAGGTAGTGTGGGTCTGGGAGGCTAGGTACCAAGGGTCCTCACCCTCTCCCCAGACCGGCCAGCAAGAGCAGGGCCCCAGGACCCTCTTGCCCCCAAAGCCTCCTGACTCTAGCAGAAGGACTTTGCTGGCCACAAAGGCCCAACTGTAGGCAAGAAACAGCTTCCCCAGGTGGCTCCTTTCCCAGGGTATATCTTGGACTCTTCTGGGACTTGACACATTTGCCTTTTTGCCTCCTCCCAAGACACAGTATTTGGAAGACTTTTACTATTTATTCAGACTCCTAGTTATTTATTGCAGATTGGCAGGTGCCTGGTTTGGGGATGGCAGGTGGGGCATGAAGGTGGAAAGGAGTTACAGAAATGGTCCTCCCGGTGTCCCAAGATCAGAGCCAGCATTCTCTTCCCCTGCCTCTCAGCCCTTCCTGGTTTTCTAGTAGGTCTTGGCTGGGAGGGCTCTGAACTCTGGACTGGAGCTGAATGGAAGGGAGACAAGAGAGCTGGTATCCTTGCCAGATTCCAAGACCCATTGGACAGGGCACACACTGCTTCCCACCAGCCTAGCACACCTTCTTCCCAGGACTTGTCAGTTGGTGGTTCAGCCCCAAACCCCTCATGGCCTGGAACCCAACAGACACTACCCAGGACATCTGATGCATTCCCTCTTGCCTGCCCCCCTGCTCTTCCACTTGGGGCCAAACTACTTGAATCACTGCATCTAATTTGCCTCAGTGGCAGACCTGGCTCCAGTGCCCTCTCCTTGAACTTGAGGTGAAAGTCAAGATTGAACGGACCATGACCTGGTTAGGCTAAGCTCCACAGTGGGATACTGCCTGAGGAAGGGACCTTCCCTTGCTGATTCCTCCTCTTCATACTCTCAAAGGAGCTCCCTAGAGAGCCAGAGTGCCCAAGGCTTCTTGCTTGAGAAGTTGCTCCCAGGAATTCAGACAGTTTTACAGATTGGGCTGTATGAATTCAGTGGGCCTCACTCCAGAGGGTCAGAATGTTAGTCTGCTTTTGGTTTTTCATCTGTTTTGTTCCTTGAATCAATGCCGTTGATAAGTTGTCTTTAATAAATCATGTGTTCTTTATATTGGTGCTGTGATGGGCTGAAACCTCAGAGAGGTCTCTGGGAGCAGGGAAGAAAGTTTGAACAGGGATGGAGTCAGAAGTCTCCCTAGAGTAGTCTGAAAGACCAGGAAGTCTTGTCTTAAGAGCTTGTGCAGACCTCATTCAACCACCGCAAGTTATAGCTAGTGGGAGTGTGGACTGGGGAAGGATGTGTAACATACATGGTTACACAGCAAGTTATGTTTTAGATTTAAAAAATTTGGAAATTCAAAAACGTGAATAAAACAGGTCACCCATAATCTCACAAAGTCAACAACGTTAGACTTTTTAAGTGAATGTAATTTTTGTTAAATAATTATCATTTTCTTGATAGTTTTGTATATTAGAGCAAGTTGTATGATGAAAAAAATTTTATGAGTTCTATATACTATCTGTTATTAGGTGCCATCGAGTCAGTGTCAACTCATAGTGACCCTGTGTACAATAGAATGAAACATTTGCCCGATGCTGCACCGTCTTCTCAATTGTTATGCTTGAGCCCATTGTTGCAGCCACTGTGTCAGTCCATCTCATTGAGCATCTTCCTCTTTTTTGCTGACCCTCTACTTTACCAAGCAGGATGTACTTCTCCAGGGACTGATCCCTCCTGATAACAAGTCCAAAGTACCTGAAACGAAGTCTCACCATGCTTGCTTCTAAGGAGCATTCTGGCTGTACTTCCTCCAAGACAGATTTGTTTGTTCTTCTGGCAGTCCATAGTATATTGAGTATTCTTTGTCAACACCATAATTCAAAGACATCAATTTTTAGGTCTTCCTTATTCATTGTCTAGCTTTCTCATGTATATGAGGCAATTGAAAATACCATGGCTTTGTTCAGGTGCACCTTAGTCCTCAAAGTGACATCTTTGCTTCTCAACACTTTAAAGAGGTCTTTTGCAGCAGATTTGCCCAGTGCAATATGTCCTTTGATTTCTTGACTGCTGCTTCCATTGGCATTGATTGTGGATCCAAGTAAAATGAAATCCTTGACAACTTCAATATTTTCTCTATCACGTTGTTGTTCATTGGTACAGTTGTGAGGATTTTTGTTTTATGTTGAGGTATAGTCCATACTGAAAGCTGTAGTCTTTGATCTTCATCAGTAAGTCCTTCAAGTCCTCTTTGATTTCAGCAAGCTTGGTTGTGTCATCTGCATATTGTAGGTTGTTAATGAGTCTTCCTCCAATCCTGATGCTTCGTTCTTCATGTAGTCCAGCTTCTCAGATTATTTGCTCAGCATACAGATTGAATAAGTTTGGTGAAATGATACAACCCTGATGCACACCTTTCCTGATTTTAAACCACACAGTATCCCCTTGTTCTGTTTGAATGATGGCCTCTTGGTCTATGTACGGGTTCCTCATGAGCACAATTAAGTGGTGTAGAATTCCCAATCTTCAAAATGTTACCCATAATTTGATATGATCAACACAGTCGAATGCCTTTGCATAGTCAGTGGAATGCCTTTGTGTAGTCAATGGATGGTATACTAGGTATATTATCTAGTATGCTAAAAATGTCCTTAATTCAGTCCTATTTCTGAATATTTTGCTTATTTGAGCCCCTATTATACATAATGTAATGAATATTTGTTTTTGAAGTCCTTGCATTTCTGATTATTTCCCCACCTCAGTGCTGTAAAGGTTGAATGGTATGAATAATTTTAAGGGTTTTCATACTGTAAGAATGGTGTGGTGGCGGTGAGGGCATCTGACCTCCTCTGACTTCGCAAGGGGGAGGTCGCTGAGCTTTCTTGCTCTGTGGGCCAGGGAAGTCCACTGTGCTGTCTCCTGCTTCTGCTGCCTCTGCTGCCATTTTTTCTGTCTCTGGTGTTAACAGCTCTCTCTCTCCTGGGTCTAGGAGGTTCTCAGCACAGGGATCTCAGGTCCAAAGGACACGCTCCATTCCTAGCTCTTCTTTCTTGGTAGGGAGGCCCCCTGCGCCACCCTCCCCCAACCCTCGCTTCTGTCTCCTTTTATAAAAGGTGTGACTCAAGAAGTAAGGGCATGACTTGAATAAGGGTGGTGACTAGGGTAAGGGTGGTGACTTGAGTCACACTCTCTAGTAAGGCAGTGACGCAAGATACATGCCACCCTAATCCTGCCTTATTAACATAATGGACAACTCACTCCCAGATGGGACCATAACCACAGGCATAGAGACTAGGATTTACATCACAAAATGGAGGATGTTTACATTAGATTACAAAATGGAGGGTGACTGTATTACATAACTGCCAAACCACTGAAAATTATGGCCCAGCCAAGCTGACACATAACCATCAGTTTCCATACACCTTATTTGCATAGTCCCAATCATTGTGTGGGAGTCACAAAGACTGGCTAGAAGGGCTGTATTAAGTAATTCACTGCACTGAATTTACATACTGCTTAACTGTTTTCTGTAATAGTTTGACCAGTTTCCACTTCAACGAGCAGTTACCATCAGTTGCCTGCGTCGTTGTCTGCGCTGGATGTTATTAAGGAAATCTTTGTCAATCTGTTGGGAATTTTGGCTTATTTTATCGTGTAACTGTTAGGAGAATGGGCTCTGGCGTCAGACCTGTAGACTTCCTTGTTCTGCCGACAAGGAAGTCCCTTTCGGGACTCAAGGATTAAATTAGACCAATTTTTGACACTTCTTGATGCTCCTTATACAGGAGCTTTTTGTACAGGGGCAGAGTCCCTTGCAGACCCGTGGGAGGAGGCGGGGCGGAGCCGAGCCTGACGGCGGCCAATCGTGGGCTGAGATGGTGGTGCCACGACCCTCATGCCCGTGTCTTAAAAGGGCAAAGAAACGGCGCCGGGACACCCACTGGGCGCACGTTTTGCTGCCCTCGTTGTTAGTACTAGCGCTTCTAAGCGTCAGGGAGTGGAATATCCTAAGACATTGTCAGCCTCCCAAACTCCCGTCTGCCCCTATTCTTACGTGGACCCCGCAAGCCAGAGCGGCCACTTTAAGAACCTTGCGAGTCAGACGCCCGAGGTCGCCGCGTTCCCTCAACCCCTCAGGCTGCGTTCCATCGCCTCCCTAGCCTCTGTCCTCCGCCATGCGGGTTCTGCGGACCGGTCTGACCCTGGCGCTGGGCGCGGGGCTAGGAGCAGCCGCAGAGGGCTGGCGGCAGCGGCGGCGGCAGGCAGACGCGCAGGCGGCGCCGCGGCTCCTGGGCCGGCAATAAAAGCTGCCCGTGGCGGCGGCGGCTGAGCTCCCCGCCTTGTCTACGGGTCCGGCGGGCGGCGGCCCGGGCGAGCTGGCCAAGTACGGGCTGCCCGGGCTGGCGCAGCTCAAGAGTCGCGAGTCGTACGTGCTGTGCTACGACCCACGCACCCGCAGCGCCCTTTGGGTGGTCGAGCAGCTGCGGCCGGAGCGGCTCCGCGGCGACGGCGACCGCCGCTCTTGTGACTTCCGTGAGGACGACTCGGTGCACGTGTACCACCGCGCCACCAATGCCGACTATCGCGGGAGCGGCTTCGACCGCGGCCACCTCGCTGCAGCCGCCAACCACCGCTGGAGCCAGAAAGCTATGGATGACACCTTCTACCTGAGCAACGTCGCGCCCCAGGTAGCGCCTGTGCACTGGTTGTGGGATGTGGGGCCAGCCACCTCGCTTCTGAGTCTAGGTTTCCTCATCTGCGGAGTGGGTAGCCGCTGAGCACGCGCTTGGGTCAGGCGCGGCGTGAGGGAGGTTCGGAGTAATGGGGACGCTCGCTGTGCGTGTCCCAGTTCCGAGCGCAGGGTCTGCACTTAGACTAGGGCTTGAACTCACTGCGGGCTCTAGGCTCCCTGAGCTTCAGTCTTCTTGGCTGTAAAATGTAGCGTAGAGGTGCTAACGACAAAATGCATATGAAAGTACTGAGCACATTTTTTGGCCCAGGCAAGCATTCAGTAAATACTAACTATAATGAGGACACTGAAGCTCAGAGAGGTGCAGTGACTAGTAGCTCAGTGTCGCACAGTGGGCCTCAGGAAAAGAACCCAGGCAGTCTGACTGCAGGAGCCTGAGTTTTCAGGCACTGCCCTACCCTGCCTGCTGCACACAATGGGTTGTTGGTACTAGTCAGCCTGCACCCTTGACAAGCTTCCCTACCATTGGCCCCAAGCCCATCAGGACCAGGCACCCCAGTGGATGGAGACTGATGGGGGCTCTGGATGAAGCTGTAGGGGTTGAGCCAATGACCTGACTTTTATGCTTTCTTAGTGGCACAGCCACTTTGTACTGATGTCGGGAGCTAAAGTGATGGGAGTCAGTAGCAGATTGTTTAAAGTTCCCAGCTGGGCTCTGAACGTGGTTCAGATTGGGGGGAAAAAAGGAGAGAGAATTAGGAGAGCTGGCCTTCCCATGAGCCCCTCCAGGGGCCAGGCCTCAGTTTCTCTCTCTGAAAGAAAGTGAGAAAATGTGCTCTTTTCCTTCTTGCAGCTCTTTGAAGAAAGAGTTTTGAGACCTGGGGGTGCTCGTTCTCCTATCCTAGATGGAGTGAGGGTGACTAGCACTCAGGGCTTTGAACCCATTCTTGCTTGGTTCAGTCATGGCTGAAGAAGCAACACCGGAACAGACCCAAATTTTTTAAAATTTGAGTGAACTGTAATGGGAAAAATTATAGGTCAAAACCCTGCTAGAAACTTAAACCCCCCTTTAGAAAACAAGGGCAGTGTATGTGTTGCATACCAACCAAATCTCTTGCCATTGGATTTTGCTATTTTGCGCAGAGTCTGAAATACCAGCACCCCACTCAAAGACGGCAGCCCACAGCACCACTTTGAATGTGTCACTGTCCTCAGTCCTGGCAATAATCCAATCTCATCCATCAGGCTCCTGAAAGGGCTCGCTACTTCTCTTCTGAGTCTCCCATTCCAGGGCTTTGACCTGTAATTTTTCCCATTCCAGTTATAGTTCTGGATCACCCAAATTTTAAAAATTCGAGTCTGTTCCGGTTTAGGTTTGTTGGCCATGACTAAACTGGTTCTAACTAGTTTGAAGCCCAGTTAGCACCCCATCAGCCCTACCCAGGCTCTGTCCTCATGGCCATGTGTGATGGAGTGACTCTCCTTGAACTTCATTTTCTCCTCTTGCTTGCCCCGAGCTAGTCACTCCTGGCTTGGTGCCAGTGCCCCCCAGCTAGACACTCCTGGCTTGGTGCCAGTGCCCACACCCCCAGAGCCTGTGGCAACCCTTGCAAGAGCGGGAGGGAGTCTCTACCCAGGTCCCACTGAGCCCCATCTCTCCTCCCAGGTGCCCCACCTCAACCAGAATGCCTGGAACAACCTAGAGAAGTACAGCCGCAGCTTGACGCTTACCTACCAAAATGTCTATGTCTGCACGGGGCCGCTCTTCCTGCCCAGGTGAGGCTGGAACTGGGGGTCTTGGAATAGCAGGGCCTCACAGTCACCTGCAGGCCTCCTCCTGCCACTCACCCCATTTAGGCTTGACCCAGGCTCTGGGTCAACACTGTCAGGTCACTACTCATCTGGTTTCTTGACAGGTGTGCCTGTCTCCCTGCCTCAGCAACCCCCCCCCCCATCCACAGCCAGAGACCTTTTAGGTACCCACCTGTACCTCTCTCCTCTCTGCAAGGGTACCCTTGCTCCTGTCTCATCCAGCACCTCTTGCCACACCCACCCCAATCCTAATCTCCCAGATAGAAATCTTGCAGCTCCCTGAATGCACCATGCTCTCTTGCTTTCAGCCTCTCTTCTTGGAGCACCCTTTTCCCAATTTGAACACAGATCTGCCTGACCAAGAGCCTTCATTCTTGTCCCTTTGCAGCCCTGCCTCCCAGGTGGGACTGAGCTCTCTGTACACTCAGTGATTTTCCTGGCCCCCTGAAGACAGGGATGAGGCAATAGGTTGTGGCTAAGCAGCTGGCTCTGGAGTCCACAGGTCCTATCACCTAGCCCCTAAGCAAGTGACTTGTGAGACTCAACATTCTCTTCTGTAAAATGAGGACAATACCTGTTACCTACCTCAGGGTTATTGAGGGCGCTCAGTGGGATGGTAGATAGCACCTGCTTAATCCAGGGCCTGACCCACCGTCGGGGCTCAGCACTAGCTGAGGCATTGGTAAGTGTTAATTAGCAAGTGCCTTCTATGGTCTACTGAGATGGAGGGGACTCTGCTGAGAAGCCCAGATGCCATTCATCCAGTGTTCTGGGAACCTACTAAACACCAGGTCCCATGCTGGGTACTGGAAATTCAATCATCACTGTCCTTGCCATATTTGGGTGTTCACCCTCCGTAGAGAGAGACAGTTATCAGATGTCACATTGGGATGAATGTGAGTGTTCACAAGGTCTGATTCTTATAGCAGTATTTATTGTCTCCCACTCTGTCTGACCCAGGGCTGAGCACGAGAAAACAGAGGTTAAGAGTCAGTCTGAGAGAGGGTTCCCAGCCTTGAGGGGGAGCTAGGTAGGACACAGAAGCCTCGCACTGACACAAAGGTTGAGACTGGGTCACGGAAGGCTTCCTGGAGGTGGTGGCCTTGGGTCCGACCAGGCCCCAGCCCTCCTGGGAGCCCTGAAAGGACATGTGTGCCTGGGTCTGCCCACAGGACGGAGGCTGATGGGAAGTCCTACGTGAAGTACCAGGTAATTGGCAAGAACCATGTGGCGGTGCCCACACACTTCTTCAAGGTGCTGATCCTGGAGGCAGCTGGTGGGCAAATCGAGCTCCGTTCCTACATGATGCCCAATGTACCTGTAGATGAGGCAATCCCACTGGAGCGCTTCCTGGTGCCCATTGAGAGCATCGAGCGGGCCTCAGGGCTGCTCTTTGTGCCAAACATTTTGGCGCGGGCAGGCAGCCTCAAGGCCATCACTGCTGGCAGCAAGTGAGGGCGGTGGCCCAGTGAGACTGGGGGTTTATGGGGCTGGGTCACATTAAACGTCGTTATTTTTAGAGACAAGTCTTGGCTGCATCTGTTCCAGGTGACCCATAGGAACCCCTGGCTTCACTGCGGCTTCTCTGATGTCTTGACAGAAACTTCAGCTGGGCCGGGCACCCGCCTGGGTGAGGCTGGGCTGCAGGGCAGCCAGGGAGATGAGGATGGCTTCCTGGAAGAGAGAGTGCAATGGATTGGGGCCTGGAATGCTTGGCCAAGGCTGACTGGGTCCTCCAGTTCCTGGCCTATCTTCAGTGCCTGACTGCCCAGGATTTAGCTCCTGGGGGCCTGCTGTCCTCAGAAGGGCTATGTGGAGATTAATGACAGGCCTGAGTGCTGCCACTTGGCCACTGCATGCCCTGCCAGGAAGGGCCCCACCATCTCTGTTTCTTAGCCTTCTCTGCAAAATGGGGATGACAGTAATAACATCCACCTCCCAAGGTCACCTGCCCTCCCCAACATGATGGGCAGGAAGTTCTTAGCCCTCAGTGTAAGTGCTGGGAGGGTGGGAGCTGGAATTTCTGTTGGGAGGGTATGGCTGGCAGACTCATAGCACCTGGTCTGGGCAGGGCCCTCCAGGCCAGGTAGACTGGAGCTATCTGTCCTGTTGAGTCCCCACTCCTTTGAGACTGATAGACGCAATGGAGCCTCCACTAGTCAAGCGCCCACAAGCACAGCATTCTGTGCTGACCTCAGAGCAGGTTCACAGGTTCCGAGGATGCCCAGGAATAAGGCTCTCAGAGGTGCATACTGCTTCCCTGTACAGAGGCATGGAGGCCATGGAAGAGAGCTCCCTGGCCCACTGTCACACACCGAGAAGTGGCAGAGCTGGGGTCAGTGAGGGACACTGAGCATCCAGCTAAGGGAACTGAGGCTCAGACCAGGGACAGGCAGGGTTTCCTGGATCACCAGCCAGGGAGCACAGGGCTGGCACTAAGACCTAGGACTCTTGACTCCCAGCTGCACTGGCATCCTGTCCCCACCCCAAGTCTGCTGTGGTGAGAGGCAGTGAGGAGAGCATCTCCAGAGGAGGCTGGCTCAGGACAGCTTTGGGTAGGGAAGGCTACAGGAGATAGTTACAACTCCCTTTAGAAAGATCCCAAGGTGTTCCATCTGCTGGGACGCTGGCCCCACTGCAGGTAGCTGAACCTTGGGAACAGCCTGGGACTGGAGGTGGGGGAGGAGGTAGGCTTACCTCAGTGCGGATGGTACGGCTGCCCTGGTTGGGGCAGGTGTTGACGTACAGGTCGAAGAGGACACTGGGTTCAGCCACCTCCAGGTTAGGGTCAGCATCCACTCCAGCTTCTAGTCCCTGAAGGCCCCCAAATACCACGAGGGCATGCCTGGCACCCATGGGTAGGGGAGGGATCAGCGACTCTTTATTAAGACCCCACTGAACACAGTCCCCAGAGCTCTCAGCCCCCCACACACAGTAGGGACCCAGTCTGTACAACTTTGCCCCCATGAGGCAGGTTCCCAGCTCCAGTCCTTACCCTCCCCCAAGGCCGTGCCCACCTGAAGCTGGGGAGCTGGGCAGAGGCCACATCTGAGCCTCGTTCTGACGTCCCAATAGTCAGGTCATACCCGTCCTTGAAGGGGGCCTCAGCAAACACAGCACCTGGGGGTGGGGTCAGCTCAGCAGGGGTCCTGCTCCCTACCAGCCACAGTCTCTCAGCTGTGAGTGTATACTGATAAGGGAGGGATAGAGAAGGGGACTCAAGTAAGGGAGCCACCTCCACGCCCTCCACTGTTCGTGGGAAGCCAGGGCTATCTCTGCATAGAGACTGGGCAGGGTAGAGACCAAGCCTGTGCTAGGCTGGGGAAAAAAGCAGAGGGTGCGGGTGGGAAGGTGCTCTGAGAGCCTATAGTGGATCTGGCCCTACTGTCCCCATTCCCAACCTCACAGCAGACATTACTAATTAATCATGCAACTTTCGTCAGGAATCCTTAAGAGCACTCAAGCAGTGCACTGGAGTACCCTCCCCGGCCATGCAGACACGAAGACCAGGTCCAGAAATGGAAAGGCACTTGCCTAAGGACAAGTTGGTAGGATGAGGACCCCAGTCTGACTTTAGGATCAAGCAAGGCTCTCTGCTGCCTCCCAGAGGGATAGATAAGATAGTCACAGGAGAAAACTTGGTCCTTACTGAGGCAGGAGGCCAGCCGGACAGTGTAGCCCCAGTAGAGACCAGCTTTGGTACGAGGGTCCTGTGAGGACACAACTTTTCCACGGTAGGTCTTGCTTTCTGGAAGGGAAGCAGAGCATCTGTGAAGACTGGGGAAGGGGGCAGCAAGGTGGAAGGAGGTGGCTCTGAACCCTCAGGCTGGCCAGGCCACCGCAGGGGCTAGGGAAGCTTCCAGATACCCGAGAGCTGCTTCTGGTTCAGTCGCACGGTCACTCGCAGTCCAGGCTCCAAGTTCTTGTCAATCTTCACCTCCTGGGAGAGAAGCTTGAAGAAATGGGTGCTGTCCCCCCCCCAGGACTAGCAGGGTCTCTCTCAGATGCCAGGGGATCTGGGGGGCTAGTAAGGGACCCTGTGTCCCCTTTCTCTGGCACCTGGGCCAGGCCTGCCCACAGGAGACTCAACCACAGACGCTGATCAAAAATGAACACCTCCTACGAAGGGCCTGGCATAGGAGGAAGTAAGTATTTCATGAATAGATGAAATCCCAGTTTCTACATTTTGGTGGCTCTGCCATTCACTAACTTTAGAAATCTGAGCAGGTCATTTAACCTCCCTGAGCCTCAGCTCCCTCATCTGTCAAACAGAAAACATAAACAAAAGCTATTACACTGCACAGCTCCTGGCGTGAAGTAAGTGCTTAATACATGGCAGCTGTTACAAATAGTAATAACTGATGTTTATGTGTTTTCCCCAATTTTGCATTTATCACCTGTTTTAGGCACTCTCTTCCACTTTGGAGAGCTTCTCATGCTTTTCCCTACTGTGTCTGTTCCATTCTGCTTTACTTTTAGCTGGTTATTCCTGGTCTGTTTATTTGTGAGGAGGGGGTTCCACACATTTAAATGTTTTTGCCTCTGACCCAAGGAGACTTGAGAGCAAATTGCTGGAAAATTAATGCTTCCAATCCCTGGCTTAGTTCTTCATCACAATGGAGCAACTCCGGAATGATTTTGATTTTTTTTTTTTGTCTTTTTTTTTAGCACGGAGACTGTCTTGTTTCGGTTTTTTAAAAAGCAGTAAACTCGTTCTCTGTTTCATCATATTAAGCCCTGTTTTTAGCACTTCCCTGGCCCACATCTGCATTAATGGGGGCTTCACAGGCAGATACCTGGGTCCAGGGCTCCCCACCCACATGCCCTGCCTCCCCTGCATAACCAGGTGTGTCCAGGAGGGCATCCTAAGCAGGTGGCAGGCCCACCTTCTCATTCCTACCTTCTTCATACCACAGTTGACAAAGGAGCCGTGGCCTGGCCGGGTGGGCCGATCTAGCACGATGCCCTCTCGGAAGTCAGATTCCTCATCTTGCCGCATGTGGTGAGGGCTATCCAAGGGGTTTAGCAGCCCTGTGGGTGGGGAGGGTCCAGAAGGAGTCTGGGAGAGGTTAAAGAACACGGGGGTATGGCAGGGGACCCTGGTTCAAGTAACAACACTGCCAAAGACCTGCTGTTTGACATTGGGCACAGGCCTCACCTCCCTGGGCCTGTTTTCTCAACCGTACAATGGGTGGGTAGGACAGGATGATTTCTTAGTGTCTGGGGTGGGGATGATCCACGGGAAATGGGGGTAAGGCCCACCAAGCCTTACCTGCAAACTGTAGATCCTGGTGCTTGGGGAAGAATGCCTTTCTCAGGTACCTAGTAAAGAATGCCAGTCTCAAGAGGTTACCAGGGGAGGCACCTTGACCACTCCTCACTCACGCTCGGGAAGTCCGCCCTCTATCCCCCTTACTGTGGACACTCCAGGTACTGCAGGATGCGGGCCAGCTGTACACATGCCTGCCCCTTCTTGCCGACTCCCATGAATTCCCCCTCCACAGTCCTAAAGAGAAAAAGAGATCTGCTGTGTTTCCAGCCTCCTTCAAGAGCTCCTCCCATCTAGTCTGATCCTCTGCAGTCAGTGCCTCGCCTAGCAACCCTACTCACTTGTGATTACAATGAGGGCATTGGGGGTGGGGGCAAGGTAAAGTCCCTCCCTTCTCTCTGAGTCCTGGTGCCCTATGGGTGGCCCCTTACTTGGTGTCTTGGCCCTCTTCATCAAACACCACAATCTCATCCACACAGAAGATGGCGCAGGCTCTGGCAATCTGGCCTGCCAGGTAGGTGCGAAGCTCAGGTGACTGGGCGTTGTCCAGGATGGAGCCTGGCAGGGCCACGCTCAGGGTGTAAGGCCGCCCTGGGAAGCGGATGGGTGTTTATGGTAAGCCTGAGAGGACAGGGCCCCATATCCCCTCGTGCCTTCTGCCCCCAAGGCACAAAGTTAGAGAATTTTCCAATTGGGAAGAATTTTGAGATCAGCAAAATAGATCCAATTTCCCTCTCTGGCCTCAGTCTCCCCAGGATGAAAAGGGACTCTGCTCTCCAGGGCTCCTAGCAGCATGGCAGACCACACTGGGCAAGGCCAAGGAGTGGTTAGAAGCATTGGCCTGACTTCACATCCTGGTTCTGCCCCTTACTGCCTCAGTTCTCCAGCTTTAATGGGATATGAAAGCTATTATCTTTTAAATCATTAACAGGTGGTAAGGACTAACAAAAGGAGTTCTCGTGGTGCAACAGTTAAGCTCTCAGCTGCTAACTGAAAGGTTGACAGTTTGAACCCACCCTGCGGCTCCACAGGAGAAAGACCTGGCAATCTGCTTTTGTAAAAGATTACAGCCTAGAAAACCCTATGGGACAGTTCTACTCTGTCACATGGGGTCGCTGAGTTGAAAATCACCTCAATGGCACCTAACATCATCATCAAATGAGCCTTTTATGTGTGAAATTGACCCGGTAACGCTAGGAAGTAGGTACTGTTTTTATCCCCATTTACAGGTGAGAACCTGTGGCTCAGAGGGGTGAAATACATGGCCCAAGGTCACACAAAAGGTGGGACAGCTGAGATACAGCTTCTGGGTCCAGTGGGACCACCACACTATCTCCCTCCCAAGGTTGTCAGGAGGGAGCTGTGAACACCCATAAAGGACTTCCATTGGTGTCTGGCATAGATGATGTGCCCAGTGGCTGTCCCCACTGTTATTATCACTGGTAACCACCAGGCTCTACAAGAGTCAGATGGGGCTCCCTAACCCTCCAGAGTTTCGGGTCTGGCAGAGGAGAGATGACACAATTTGTTAGGTTAGATTTAGGCGTACTGATGTGGAAGAACATCCAGGACATAGTGTGGGATGAGAAAAACCAGGATCCAGAAGAGCATGGATAAAATTTTTTGGTCTCATTTTTGTAAAATTATACATCTTTCTACATGGGCGTAAGTGGGCACAATGTCCGGACAAAATTTCACCACAATGTTCAGGGGCATTTTTCCTGCTTTATAGTTTTCAGTACTGTTTTGGGGGTTTTGTTTTGAGCATGTATTGTTTATAATGAGAAAACAAAGGGAGGCATTTTTATTTACGAATATTGAAATACAGCACACAGTAAGTGCTCAATAAAACAGTAAAAATTAACTACCATTATGATCATAAGGTTCTGAAGTTATAAAGGTATGAAATTGATGCTTACCCTCCAAAAGCTTGAAATCTGCCTAACTAGGAAGTTAGGACTCAATTTGCTGTGTGACCTGGGGCAATTCCCTCCCTTTCTCTGGGCCTCCGTTTCTCCACCAGTATGTTTGGGCCCACTAGTCTAGAGGTCCTTCCAGATACAACATAATCTGCCCTGCCCACAGGACAGACACTGTGGGCCAAAGCCTGGCTCACCCTGGTCCTCCCTCTGCAGAGCTGCCGCCTCCTCCTCCTGGCGCTTTGCCTGTTCCTCCTGTGCCCGCTGCCGTTCAAGTTTCTTCATCAGCCTGAGGTCTTTCCACTTCTTTTTCTCCTCTTTTTCTGGATAAGAGAATATCCTTATTGGTGGAGGAGGCAGGACTAGAAGGGGTTGAGGGGGCAGCCCCTCTGAGGAGGGTCGGCCCTGGCTCTGTAGTGCTGCTGAGTGTGCAGACAGGAGGGGGCGAGGGAACCTCCCCAGGGCGCCTGGCCCCTTTCTCTCCATTTTGGTGGCTGTGGGACCAAGAGAGGACAAAGCTGGTGGCTTTCGCCAAGGCTCAGGTGTGCACTGCTAGTGTGGTCTGGGGGAAGGAGCACAGAACGCCCCCCCTCCCAACCCCACACTTACTCTTTTTTTTCCATTTCCGCCACTCAATCCTTTGGCCATGTTCACTCTGGAGTAGGAGTAGGAGTAGGAAGGAGATTAGGAGTGTGAGGCTGAATGGTCCCACCTAGAAGGGGGTTCCACCTGCAGCTCCACTGCCCTCTGTCTAAATGGGGGTAGTGAAGCAGTCAGGGAGCCCCCCCACACACTGCTGGCTCCAAGACGTCAGGAGAGCAGGCCCGCTGTACCTCTAGTGCCTGGGACCAGGCCTGGAACGTAGTACACATTCATTAAAATTGCTGAATGAGCTCCCACTGGGCAGAAAAGGAAACACGCTCAGGGGACGGAACCTGCCCACAGTTGTCCTGGGAGTCAGGACAGGAAAGAGAGATAAGCCACGAAAGGGCCTGTCGCTTGTGACTGTGAGCAGGGTTCTGCCTCCTGAATCCAGGCTTCCACCACGGGCCACCAGACGATGTGCCGGCGTTCCCAGATCCGACCCGGATCCCGATCTCTGGTTATCATCCCGGTTGCGACGCGCGCATCCATTAGCATGCGACCCCGTCGGGGCTTCCCGCCTCGATTCAGCCAGAAGCAGGGAGCGGGTAGTCTGGCCCCGCCAAAGGGCCCTGCGCGGTTCGTTCTCACTCCCTCTCCCCAGCGCGGGAAGTGGGGGGGTTCCCACCTCCAGGCACCTACCAGGCCACAGGGCCGCTTCCCCGCGCACTCCGCCATGTTCCCCTGCACATTGCAGGCCACACCCTTGCCAATCAACCTCACCTCTTCCGGCCACTTAGTGTCCAATCGGAGCGCCACTGGCGCGCGGGGGCGTGACTTTGGCTCCCTGCGCCGGGCAGCTGCACGTGGGCGTGGACCACGACTGGCCTGGGCGGGTGGGTAACTCCTGTGGCCTAGATGAGCAGCGTGTTGTCTCGGGTGCTGTCCTGGTCCCCTAGACGACTCAATTCGCCCTCCAGCTCCGGAAGAGCGTGACACTCAGATCACACCAGAGTAAGAGTATGATTCAGAGCTAGAAAGTACCTTAGAGATAACTTTATCTAGTTCTTTTATAGGTTTATTGATCTGGTTTCTTTTAAATTAAAAAATTTAAGAGTCACCATTCATTTATTCACTTAACATATTTCTTGAGCAGCAGCTATTTTGAGCCATTCACTCCATATATAGGTCCCTGGGTGGCGCAAACGGTTTGCGCTGGCTAAGTGAAAAGGATGGCAGTTCCAACCCATCTGGTGGCACCATAGAAGAAAGGTCTGGAAATCTGCTTCCATAAAGATTATAGCCAAGAAAATCCTGTGGAGCTTAGTTCTACTCTGTAACACATGAGGTTGCGATAAGTTGGAATTGACTCCGTGACAAGGGGTTTTGTTTGACACTCCCGGTGCTAATAGCCAGGGACACAGTGGTAAACCAGAGCATATACTGACTGATCCCGGAACTTACAACCTAGTAGAAGAGAGAGAATAATCAAATAACCACTCACATAAATACAAACCCACCTTAAACTTTTCAAATTAAAATAAATTTAATATCAACCAATATTTCAATATAAAAGTCTAATATGCCAAATTCTCATAAACATTTCAAACACTTTAAATAACATAATCCGTGCTGATCATAATGATTTCAAAACTCCTTTTTTTTTTTTACCCCCAAGCCTTCCTTTTGAGATCTCTCATTAAAGGTAAAAGCCTTAAGTCTAAAGATTTGGACTCTAACCATTTAACTAACATTGTAATTGCTAATTCTGATTCTCCAGTTCTATACTGATGTTGTGAGGTCTTACGTGCATGCCTTGCCATGATTACCTTGCAATAAACTAAACAAGTTTATGCGTGTCACACTTGAGTATATCTCTATTAATTTTCTTTCTTTTTATTATTGTGCTTTAGGTGAAAGTTTACAGAACAAATTAGTTTCTCATTAACAATTAATACAAAATTTTTTTGGGACATTGGTTGCCAACCCTGTGATGTGTCAACACTCTCCCCTCTTCACCCCAGGTTCCCTGTTTCCATTTGTCCAGTTTTCCTGTCCCTTCCTATCTTGTCTTTGCTTTTGGGATGGTGTGCCCATGTAGTCTCCTATACATGACTGAACTACGAGGCACATTCCTCGTGTGTGTTATTGTTGGCCCTATAGACCTGTCTAATCTTTGGCTGAAGGGTGAACCTCAGGAGTGACTTCAGTACTGAGTGAAAAGTGTCCTGGGGCCATACTCTTGGAGTTTCTCCAGTCTGTCAGACTAGCAAGTCTGGTCTTTTTTTTTTTTTTTTGTGAATTTGAATTATGTTCTACATTTTTCTCCAGCTCTGTCTGGGGCCTTCTATTGTGATCCCTGTCAGAGCAGTCAGTGGTGGTAGCTAGGCACCATCTAGTTGTTCTGGGCTCAGTCTGGTGGAGGTTGTGATAGTTATGGTCCATTAGTCCTTTGGACTAATATTTCCCTTCTTTTTTTTTTTTTCCCATTCTCCTTTGCTCCAGCTGGGATGGGACCAGTAGATGTATCTTAGATGGCCACTCACAGGCTTTTAAGACCCAGACACTACTCACCACAGTCGGATGTAGAACATTTTCTTTATAAACTATGTATACCAACTTAGCTAGATGTCCCCAGAGACCATGGTCCCCAGCCCTCAGCCCAGTAATTCTGTCCCTCAGGGAATTTGGATGTGTCGATTTTTACCAACGTCTGAAGTCTGAAATTGATCAAACATGCAATCAAGATGCACTGATAATTACTGGTAATTGGAATGTGAAAGTTGGAAACAAAGAAGGATCTGTAGCTGAAAAATATGGCCTTGGTGGTAGAAATGACAGTGGAGAGCACATGACAGAATTTTTTTTTTTTTT